ACTTGTGTTGCTAAAGTTTCGTCGGAACGAATTTACGGGAAATCAATTAACAAACCGAGACGTAACAATACTTTAAAATTCTGTTTAATGCATTTTTAACTGATAAAAACCTGAAGCAATTGTAAAATTTCCTCGTAAATTTTCTAGTTGCTCAATCCTATACATACAAATATGCTTGTTCTTTCCCAGCTACAAATAATCCGTACATGAAAGTTTTGCGTCAGATTGTGGATTTATATTAGGCATCATTCATTCATTTATCATTCCCTTTCAACTTGATGCTCTACTTTTACAGATGCTACGTGCAGAAACAGAGAGACAAATTAAAACATTTGAGGGCAATTTCACTAACATCCAGTATGTTAAATCTGTCGAGATATGTTATAACTATTGTTGGGCCAGCATCAGTTTTGGAACTCCCCAAAAATACAATTTTGGCACTTTTCTATTTATTGATTTGAAATCCCATTGATAATATGTTGTTTTATTTACGAATACATATATTTTGATCGAAGCGTTTTTTGTTTTGTTCTTGTACAAAGAAAAAGTTGAGGTGTTGGTATATAAGATCACATTTGCTACTAGTCCTAAAATGAATTACTGTATTGCAGTGTCTGTGTATGTTTGTTATTAAGCCCAAAACTACAACGGGCTATATGAGCTATGCCCACTACGGATATCAAAACCCGGTTTTTAGTGTTATAAGCCTTTAGACGTATCACTGAGCCACAGAAAGAGGACAGGGGGAAAGGGGGGGGAGTATTTGTAATCCCATATATAACATATTTTATTTTTGAATTAATACATTTTTATTGAAACATTAGTTAGGGCTGAAAGTGAAATAACCGATAGTATTGTAGTAATTTTTCACTAGCTTTCTTAATTTTTTTTGTAGATATTTGATGATAAAAATTGTGGCAAAACAGAGAAAATGCTCGAAATTTATTTAAAGAAAAGTGTTTTGAATAGAATTTAGTAACTTCAGGACATAGTTCAGAATATTTAAATTCTATGCACAGTGCTAAGATCAAGAAAATGTTCTGTGAAAATACTGGAACAGTCACGAGATAAGTAAAGTATTATGTTAATATTATTAACGTTCTTATCTTGAGGTACTTACTTTCGATTAAATATGGCAGAATGTGGAAATGACGACGTATGTTCGGAAAGAAATTTCGAACATGTTTCTCAGTCTGTTGGTTTCGAAAAAGAACTTCACGAAGAGCAGAAAGAAAAACTTATAAGACAAGGGTCAGAGTTAGATATACATCAACCTCCCGCTCAAATATTTTCAGACGGTAGGAATTTTGCGTCATTGTTTTATTTCTCAATTTTTAGAAATCGAATCGATATTTGTTTACAGTTATATCTCGTGATTCGTTAACCATGTATGGGCCACCTTAAAGTTAAACGCTACAATTTACAAATTACATGATAATTGGTATAGTGAAAATTATGTAATACTAATAACACTTAACCTTATAAGTTTTTTTGTTTTTTTTTTAAAGTGTGGCATAAAATACTGCCTAGGTTTACCTTGCACTCGAGTTACAGTTTACACTCAATGACTTGGATCGACAATCTAGTATGTTCATCTTGTCACTGGGCATATGATAAAACTGAAAGCTGGAGCACAAAAACCTTGATTTTGCATCAGAGTATAAATTAAAATGATAGTTTGGGTATTTGCAAGAGTAAATCCATTATTTTTCTTTAATATTTCAAATAAAATGTAACTTACAATAGAAACTTGCTTAGTTGTAAACTTCTCAAATTGTGTACTTCATCTTAACAGTCTTAAGTTTAAAAACAGTTTTTGTATTTTGTTAAAAGATTTTCTTCAAAAAAATGCAGTTTAACATAATAAAACTTATTTAATTGTGCACTTCATCTAAAAAAAGTTGTGTTTTAAGATTTTTTCAAAAGTATAGTTTAAAATGATACTGATAGTCTTGCTGTGCTCATTTGTACTTTTTGGGTGTCTATAGCCGTGTATTATTATAACATAGAATGCAAGAAATCTGTTGGTGATTTCATGCTGTCCTTCAATCCTTGAGGAAAGTAAAAAATTTAAACCCACTCATTAATTTCTCAAGAAAATCCTTAGTTCTCATTTTAAACATCTGTAGGGTGCTGGCCTCAGCTGTTGCTGACAGCAGCTCCTTCCATATTCAATCTCTTTGCTGGAATAACACTGTTGCACAACAAAAAAAATTTCTCTGCAACAAGAAAAAATGCAATTGTTTCCGAGTAACTTGAGGATGCTGATTGTAAAAGTCATGTTGAAAGTTAGTGATCACCTCTACTGGCTCTAGTTTTTGAATTGTGATAAATTTATTCAAAATATTCTTATATATCTTGGAAATAACTTTTTCTTTAATAACTATTTATTCATTGTAAATTGCATTTAAGAATGTTCAAAAACAATACATAATAGCAGTACCAGTTTAAAATAGCAATGAGTATAATGAGGTTATACTGTAAGACCCCAATAAGTGCCACCCCACTTTAAGCTGATTTATTATAAAGCTCATGTCTCCTTGTGAGATTATTTTTTTCACAAGAAAGAAAAAAAATTATGAAAATCCATTACTCTCTGAACAATACTTTTTCATACTAATGGCAGTAGTAGTGCACTAAATAATTTTTATTTAGTAAAATAATGCAACAAAGAATAATATCATGGAAAAAGGAGACAATGTTCCATAAGTATCACAATTTTTCTGGTGTTTCTAGTGATCAATATGAACTGTTAAAAATGTCATCCACCTACACAGTATCATTCCTGTGAGAAAAAAAATGTTTTCTTAGGAAACAATCTACAAATCTCTGTACAGAAATAAAGTAATATAATATGTCATTTGGTTGACAAAAATCTTGCCTGCTATTGGTTATAACAAATGTAAACATAAGAGAGAACTACATGTATTGACAAATCCTGAAAAGAGGATCTAACAGGAGGGGTTTGATTTTTTATTTGATGGCTCTGTAACCAAACAGATTGAAGGCTAATAAAAATTTGCTTTTTTCCAGTGATGATGATGATATAATGAGTAATTTACGTTTAATTTATCAGTACGTAAATAAAACACTTGTACATCATTCACAGGTAAGAAACAATGCCTTCAGTTACTTATCTCCATAGATGTAATGTTAAAATGACTGTTTAGAGCTGATTCGTTTATAGCTCTTTTCTCGGGAACCCTTCCTGACTGTGTCATCCTATACCTCATTTTCCTGTAGTTCTCAAGCATATCATCAATCATCGCAAAATAGTTTTCATCTCTGTGATTCTTAAGACATTTTTGACAACCAATATGAATGTTTTCCAGGCAGAAAGTTCTTTCTGAGTGAGTACTGTTTCAAAATCACCATTTCTCGAATCTGTGTCCCAGCAAAGATACCTCCTTTCATTTTTGCTTCACCGATTTTTGGAAATTTGTCAGACAGATAACTGAAACCATTACCATCTTTGTTCATTCCTTTTATATAATTCTTCATAAGTCCCAGTTTAATATGAAGTAGGGGCAGAAACACATTTTGAGGATTCACTAAAGGTTAATACTCGTTATTCTGTTTCCCTGGTATATAATTCTCTCTCATTGGCCTTTCCTTCTTTTTGAAATGATTTTTATCATTTCAGCTGTTTCAGAGGCACAAAAAAGCATCAATGTGTGAAATATCCACTCTGAAGGCATAGTAGGAGTGCAATAACTTTTAGATCACCACATATATTCCACCTGTGGTGATCATATTAATGGCCTCAAGTATAATCTGCATGCTTTGATAAGTTTCTTTCATGTTCACAGCATGAGCAACAGGGCTTGAGTTGTGTAAATTTATCAAGTTGATCTTAGTTTCATAGCCCCTATGTGGTGGGTGGTCTTGGAGCTGCCAAAGACCCCCTGAAGGTTTATGGTTTTAGATGCATTCTGAGCTATTGACCTATCAGAGTCTTCAAAAACTAGATTACTATTCTGTTATGCTTTATTGTTCATTTTCATATTTTAATAGTAAGTGTGTTTTTATGTTTAGTTAAACAGTAACAATGAAATTGAATATTTACTTAAAATTATGAGTATATGCACATAAGATCAAGTTAAGTGGTCCATCTTAGATCTTCTCTTGGAGATGTATATTGGGTATGCTCCCACAGAAAATAAAAATGTAATTAGAATCATAGGTATATAGTTTCATCATTTGAAGTCAGTATTTTGGACATGGTTTAAGTAATAAATTTTGGGTATTTTAACACATTTTATATAGATTTTAACTGTATTAAATTACACTTATATATATTACCCCCCCCCCTACACACCCACACATTATATTACATAAGTAATAACAATTTCTTAGAGATCATTAATCAACCAGTATTAGAAAAATATATATATATATATTTTTGATCAAATTATTGAATATAATATCAGTGAAAGATAAATGAACTCATATTACAATGTTAAAAAAATTAATGTGAACAGATTTCATATACTATTTATACTTAAAAAATTTCCATAAGTTTTCGTATGACTTTTGCATGTATTTTTTGGGATTCTACAGTTCTAGCCTTCATGTCATCCACTTTACAGTGTTTTTGGTGTTAGGCCCAGGATCATAAAGACCGAATGATGGCACCACAGATTTGATACATACCAGAGAAGACAGGTTGGGCACTTTTAGGAATGATCTCAAGTAGTTCAGTGTTGTGTTCATTTTTTTAAACCAATGTTTGCATGCAGCTTTAGAGACAGCTATTGCAGAAACAGCATTGATCACTTCCTTTATTCTGTCTGGAGGACTTTTATGTAAACCTTCAATATGACACTGATCAATATAAGCTTGAAGCTCAAGTGCAGCTTCAGAGAAGTCAAGGAAGAAAGTGTCACAGAGAATTTTAAGCTTATCTGTGCCATAAGCAAGGGGGCAATCAGCTGGCCATGAATGATGATGGTTCTAAAATTTCTAGAGCATCCATGAATTTGTTAATTTCTGTGGAAGAATGCCCATAATTGCACATTAGTAGCTTTTCTAAATTAAAAGCCAGGATTTTTATTACATATCCATCATTAATCTGAACATCACATTTGTTGCTTGTTTCAAATTCTGTATTTTTGAAGTTCATGGTCACATCTGCCAGCATGGCCTCCTTTGCAAAACAGCCAGGACATTGAACCATTGAAATGAATATCCAGACTTGTGGCAACTGATTAAATTTTAATCTTGATGCACTGGGATAGATCTATTTTGAAGATCCAAAAATAATGACAAGAGCTTTCTCAAAGCATCATCTATAACCCAAATTTTGAACAAAGTTTGCTTCTTTCATTCTTGATGCAAGACCTTCAAATGTCTTTCTTATATGTATGGGCCAGTCTTTGTCTTTAGATGCCTAATCACAGTGCTGCTGAAGGGCAGTGTATGAGAGACATTATGTTACCCAGAATCTTTCCTACAGACAAAAAGTTATTATCAAGATCAGCACAACACTGATTTAGTTCCCTTCTGCTTTTTGGAGAGAGTGATATATGCTGTACAACATGTCAAAAAAAAAAACATTTGAAGTAATCCAAACCATGTACCTCTTGGACAATATTACCCACAGCTAGTTCAAGCCTATGTGCTAAACAATGCCAGACCAAAAGATTGGAAAGTCCTTTGTCAGCCTCAGAGCTACACCTGAATTTTTACCTAACATTATAGAACAACCATTGTCAGTGAAACAAACCAGTCTGTGCTGTAATACATCCTTACTGAAGATGTGCTGTCAGTGTGGATATCTATATAGATTCATCATCTGACTTTTCCAGTTCAACCAAATCCAGGAAGAATGTTACAGGTTGACATTCAACAACATACCAAATGTATATGATTGATACAGCATGTTGATTGACAATTGTTGACTCATCAACAAGAACTGAAATTTTCAAACCTATGTCTAAAATATTTGAAATAAGTTTTTCTTCATATCTTTTGCAATGTGATTGCAAATTTCATGATAGCTGAATGAGCTGTATAGGGTTCTACCAATACACAGTCTAATTAGTTCTTGAACTTCAATTTCAAAGAGATAGTCAGAGTAAGGATGACCATTCTTTGTAACTTTATAGGCTGTACACAGCATCGGTGCTTTCTAATGAAAGTTCATTCATGCAACTAACTCCTTTCTCAGTTTTCTCTTTATGAGCCTGTTTCTTGATTTATTCAGCCTTGATATTTGCTCTACTTTCTTTGTGTTCAAAGATTTCTTTCATGAGAGATCTTATTTGTTTTTTCATGGTGTCTATGTATGATTAAACTGACACAGTCACCCACTCTTGTGCTAAATGCACATGTTTTTCTGAATGGCCAATAAAGTTCCCTACCTCTTGAGAAGTGGTACATCCTATTTCTCTGCCTGATGAAGTCTACCAAGGATATTGCTGAACTTTTGAGGCAAATATTTTTCTTATTCAGCATTTGGGAAAAGATTGCAAGCCAACTACAAGGCTATCATGAAAGATGTTCATGTGAAGGACATCTAATTCTTGTCATGGTCACATGATGGTTTTGCTTCTCCTGCTCCATATGCTTGTCCTGTGAACATGATGCACCTTCATTAAGTTCTGTTTTTTTTTTTCATATTTAGAAACTTTCAAAGTCAATGCAAAATAATCAAAATTTGGTGGGGTTTCATGTTCACTGTTGAAATGTTGTCCTGGTAGTTCCATATTAATAGATATTATTGGCTTGAAGAATTTTGATATGCCAGTTTGTAATTACCTTTTCTTTGGTATTGACATTTTCCTAGAATATGAAAGAAATATTTGGCAAAAGTATACCTACTTTCAATAATATTTTACTATCAGTAAATAAATATGAAAAAAAAAAAAAACTTAAATAATAGAGGCCTAGATACAAATATAAAGTACTAAGGGTAAGCCTAGTATTGGTAAGGTGATACTTGGGTAATTCACATTCACTTAAAAACAGAAATGAGAAAGAACATAACAAACTCATAAAATATTACTCTTTTACTGTATATACTTCAATAATTTAACTTATGCTGTTTATATTTGTCAATTAGTGGCACTGAGCTATGGGTAACTCATCAAGTAGATATTGTTATTTTGGGAATAATGTTACAAGACATAATTTGATCTAGAAAATCTGTTGTTGTTTGATGGCTGTTTTACTTAAACAAGTCAGTGTTAGAGTCACTTGTGATCAGTATGTTTTCCTTGATAATAGTTTCGATTATATTGACTAAATTAACTGTGAATTCTGGTATACTATTATAGAGTGGCATACAGTGTACAACACCAAGGGCTAAATTTAATTTTGGCTGTTTTTGACATATTTTAATAAAAAGGCCATCAAATATTTCTGTTGAATTGTTTTTAAAAACAAGGTCAAACCTTAATTTGTGCTTTTGGATAAAAATTGCAATCCATTCACCTCCTGTGTTGTTACATTTATGTTTCATTATCGACACACACTCATCAAATTGAATAGAGTTTTTTAATGAATTATCTAACCAAGTTCCTGTAAATATTAATACATCCAAATAGAAATTAGTTTCATCATACAGAATGTCAAAAAATACATTGTATTCCAATTGTATTATACAATGTTAGATAATCAGTAACCTCATTCTCTTTGATGATGCTTTTAAATAATATGATTTCATAATTATTTGATGGTACCACTAAAGAAGAATTACGAATATGATTGTCATCAAAGTGTTATCATTCAGAGATGGAGGATGATCTTGGGTGGCCATGGAATATTTAAAATGTTTTCATACTGGTTTAAGTGGAAATTTTTCATAATTGAAGTGAGAAGGTGAACTAAATGATTGAATGGCAATTGAATATGAGAGAAAAGGAGTGATAAATTTGGTTTTACTCCTAAGGTAAATGAAAGGTAGTATAACATTATCTTGTGCAAAGATGGTGTGGAGATATTCAGTTTTACCAAATTGTTACCGTGGTAGAAAATTAAACTGTAACTTATGCAAAACTTCAGTTTATATAGTATATGTGTACATTGTAACCTGAATATGATTATAATACATACCTTTCCAAAAGCTTTTGACATTTTAGAAAAATGAAGAAGGTCAACGACAGTCTCTTATTTTGATTGTTCAATGAAATCACAATGTATGTTGACACAGAAAAGTAACTGAAATGTATAAGAATGACATGTTGCAAAGTAGGCCTGCATAAATAATATGACTTGGTAAAATTGTGATAGCTTATTTTTAAATTTACATATATCCTTGGACATTCTACAACAGGAGAATTTTCACAATAATTTCTTAAAACAGAAACAATGCTCTGGTTTGCTCCCCCTCAACTCCAGCCCTGCTGACCATTAGAAAACATTTGCTGATTTCAATTAACTACAGTTTACGAAAGAAAAAAATTATCAGTATACAACGTGTCATACCACAACATCGTGGACAATTTAAAACTTTAAAAGAATGTTGTTGTTTTTCCAGAATATAAGTAGCCCCCCCCCCTGAACCTCATGTCTTACAAATAATTACTCCCAGAAAAAAAAACCTAAATTTCATAACTAAGTATTTTACTATTGTTCCAAATTTATGTTATCTAAACCAGTGTTCAGAATAAGACTTACATGCTGAATTGTTTATCCAGCTGACAACCTATGAGCCAATTATGGTTGTCCACATTTAATTGAAAAACTTTGTTGACTAATCAAAATTACAAACTTGGTATTACATTGTTCTAAATCAAATATCCCACTGGAAAGCTCATGGATTGATAGAAAATTGTGATTTTTTTGAGGAACTTCATTAGGAAATATAAATCATGATGTATAATTAGGGTGACCAAGCATCCTGGTCTTGAACCTGTTGTCCATGAGTTCCAAAAATGCTGATGAATGCTTTAGAATGCTGACTTGTCCCAGTTTTTAAGAAAAGTTTAAAGTTTTTATGTAAAATGTGTGCCACTCACATACGTAGTTATATATCTATTAGATTATTGCATGCTTGCTGAATACTTGTGAATGAACAAAAACATTTGAGAAGTGTGAAGCATATATGAAAGGTTGCCTGCAGTTTGCTTCTCTGTTCTATTCTACATCAGGTGGTGGTCTATTAAACCTGTAATTATGTGGTTACCACATCAGATAACCAGAGATTGTAATTTTCTAAGGGCTACATACTCAAAGTTTTACTTTGAATGTTATTGTTTTGTTAGGCATTGTTTTAGTGGAAGTACCCTTCTCTCCATCCATCAGAAAATTTTGATTTAAAAAAAACTGCTTTGAACTCACTATTCACACAATTTCTGGTATATATTATTATTATTATTTTAATATGTCATCACTTATTAATTTTTTTAGAAATTGGATGATCTTAACTACAGTCACTATGAAATGTAAATGTCAGATAAAAATGTGGCATTATCAAAATCTTTTGAGTGGTGGATCTGTTATTTGTCCTAAGTTGTGACAGGTTTGCAAGACATAACGAAAATATATTGGTAAACAGAGTGTGTTGTCTTAATGATCACATTTGCATGGAAACTAGAAAAAGGTGCATATAAACATATTACTCATACTTTATATAGTACTCTGAACATGTCAATATGGACAAGATGCCTAGACTGTCATGGGATTGAGTCATGTCGCACGTGTAATACGGACATCTGATTAGTGCACGAGTTGTCTGGCAATAATATTTATTGTCTAAGACAACTGGAAACCACTTATTTTGAATACTGTAAACAGTATAGTACCTTCGAATATTCAACATCAAAATTCATTTTGAAGTACGAGACCATTTCTATTTTTTCAAGATGATCCATGTGCATTAAGGTTACATTATGCACTTTACAAACTTTGCGTATTATTTTATTATCAGCATTTATGAGCCATTTAATTGATGATGTGCCATTATGGTACACAGAGTTTCAAGCAGTTGAACTTTTTAAGATTAATTGTTAAAATGTATTAAGATGCTTTTGTTTTCAGATTCAATTGTATTTGTGTTAGATTTTCCAAATTGCTTTTTTTTTTCAGATTCAATTGTATCTGTGTTAGATTTTCCAAATCGAATAAGCACGTATTTTGATGATGATGATGGATCATTAAAATATAGAGAGCTTCAAGCACCTTTAGAAGAACATAACCATGAGGATCTTGTAAAGACCTGGGAAATGAACTACAATGAGGCATCTATTTATCTTGAGGTGAAAATAACATGCTGCAAAAAGTTAAAATTTTATTTTATTTTATTTGCATGAGATTAACCCTATGTGCACATGTGGGGATCAAAGTGTGCATGTAACAACATTTTACAGTTACATTCAAAATTTAATTAAAGTACCTTATTATCATTGTATCTCAATAAACTTGGCATCAAAACTTAGTTATTAAATAAAATTTTAATATAAATTTTAATTTCAAAAATAAATATTTAGATACATTCTCAGTCTTCACTTTTCTGTATCAAGTGATTTGTTTGCTTAAAATTGTTCATTTTAGATATTATTACTATCCACATTTGATGTCCTGAGTTTAATCTAAATTTCTCATTTTATTGATTTCTGTATAAGGTTAGCTTATTCTCATAATAGTAAGAGATTAATTTAACCACTTATAGCTTAGGTAGAAAGCCAGTTAAATCATAATAGTTTTAGATCATTGTATTTTTTTTCATATTAATATTTTATGTTCTTAGTTGCATATTTGAAAAAATAAAAATCATACTATATACTACTACCACTGTTATAGAGGTTACGTTTTGTCAGGATCTGAGAGATAAAAACAAAGAAGCCAGACATAAGTACCAAATTTCTTGTTTTTTTATTTGTATTTTTTATTGTTATAAAGGCAATTAAAATTTTAAACTTGTAAAGTAAGGAAACATGAATAAAAACTAAATACCTGTAATGTAATGATGGCTACATGCTAATCCTGTTATTCACAATAATTTTGCTTTTGAGTTTAAGGTGTAATGTAACATAAACCTTAATTTTCTTAAGTTAGAATATATCTAAATTCAAGTCCTAAATTATATGTGCTCTGTTTGTATTTTCAAGAAGGTCCTTACATTTAAATGATACTAAGTCTTGTAGACCATTGAAACAGTAATAACAGTACAAACACTTGCTAAGTCTGTTCTAGTCTTATGAAGTGGTAGATCATTAAATATGTTATTTCAGATGATTAAATTGCTCTGAAGGATTTCTATACTTAAATAAACTAGGGATGTATTTGGGTGTTTTATCATATGACATCAATACTTCCCAATTAATCACTTTCATAAAATTATTTAATTTTAAATACCATTTTTCCTGTTTTTTTTTATTGTGAGCTCTGTAAATGTCCTGTAAATATAATTAAGTTTAGTTACTCTCATGCAGTGATTCCTGTAGTGTAAAATACACAATACTCTGCAGATTAGCTATATTAATGAAAAAAATAAACCACACTTTTGGAATAAACTATAAGCACAAAGACTAGGAAACTAGTTTTTAACACTTTTGTGTGTCTTCTACAGTCCTACACAGTCTTTTGAGAAGAAAGTTACCCACACAGCTTGGGTGATACCCAATTATGAATTTCTGTGAGAACATATGGTCATGAAACAGTTAATCTTGAAGTGAGCTTAAGAGGTGTTTATGTTTGGTACCCTTTTAATAATAAAACTTTCAAAAATTATTTTCTTTATTTTATTTTTGTCATTTTGGTTGATTTGTAGTTCATAGGATGGTCAAGTCTGTTTATTGATTTCTAATTCTTGCCAAGAAATAGACATAATTTCTCCACCTCTAACTTGTAATAATACGATATCATTTTGCGTGAAACTTTTTTTATGCAAAATAGCCATATGTCTTCACATGATTGAGCCACTATCATATTCATAAACCAATGATCAGCTAGCATATTTTAATACCTTTACCTGGTTTTTCCCTCGGTTTCACATTGTTACCCCTTTGTCATGCTTTGATGGATTGGAACTTAGGTGGAGTTTTTAATTCTTTTGTTCTGGTTTCTTGAAATTTCTTGTAAATATTAAATCATACTTTTCTGTTAATAATCATGAGGTTGTAATTCTTCCTGTTTTCTAGTGCTCCTATCCTTTGAATCTTTCTCCAAGATTAGGGATATTTTTCTTCTCCTTGTTTGACTATTTTATCCTCAATCTACGTATCTTTGTTTTTTTTCTTACTCACCTTATGAGCTTGCTGTCCCATTTACTCTTTCCTTCGTGAGATCTGCATTGCAACCCCAACAACTTTACTGGGAAAGGTTACCCTTATCTGTTCTTCATGTTGCCTTGTTTTCTTCTCCAACTGTTGCCCAATTCCTCTCTGTGCCTGTAGGATTTATTTCATCAGGATGGTTTATTTTACGAATTAGACTCCCTCACTTTTATCTTGGAGAACTTCATTTGGCACATGACCTTCTTGTTGTAGTTTTTTTGGAAGTTGCTTGTTGTGTGGCCACTTCCTTGCATCTCTCCTCCAAGGAGGCCATCCATTATGGGACCTGTAGATCAGTTGTTTCTGTAATTACCCTCAGTTTTGGTTCATTTAGAGCTTGGCCCTTGAACTTTGTCCACCTGTAGACTTTATTTGCATAAAACTCTTGGGTCACCCAGGTTTTCTCTGAGGAGCTTTCTTTTTATATAATAAATTGATATAAAAGGTTATTGTGTTTTCATTCTATAATAATTTTGCTAATAATCCTTAGTGAATAATTTATTTTTTGTTGCTTCTGTATTTTTGTATATATTCCACAATTTTGTTTGCCCAAGATAGAAGTTGAAACTTTTTTTTTAAAACATGCTTGATGAGAACTGTACCATTATATATTTTTTTGGAATAAACAGTTTCTTAAAGTATCAGTCTATAACAATGTTATCCAAATACTTACACAGTACTATTAAGTGTAGTATCACTTAGTTCATTATGTTTGGTAATGTGTCTCTGACTTGATGCCATTGCTAACAAATGATTTTCAATGCTTAGACTTGATAATGACTTGCTAAGACTTTGTTCCAATTTTACTGTATTTTGTCTTGTACGGATACAGGAAATTACTGAAATATTGACATAGTGATATTTCATAACATTTTTGGTTTGTTAAATTACTTGTATATATTTCATTTAGTTTAAACATTTTTCAAATGGTGATTTAAAGAACAAATTTGGCTTTTCATAATCTACTATTAGAAGTTTTGATAATGTAAATAACTGAAATATTGACATAGTGATATTTCATAACATTTTTGGTTTGTTAAATTACTTGTATATATTTCATTTAGTTTAAACATTTTTCAAATGGTGATTTAAAGAACAAATTTGGCTTTTCATAATCTACTATTAGAAGTTTTGATAATGTAAATAACTAATCCATATTTAAGATGTTGACAGAAATTGTACATGTAATTGCAAAAGAGAACTTTGTACATTTAGCTTGTATTAATATAAATAACTAAACTATACAACAATTGCGTATGTTTTTTGTTTGTTTGTTTTTACACATTTATAATAAGATGTTTATCAAGTACATGTATTGTAAGTTTCAAATTTTGGTCATTGAAATTAATTTTATATATAAATTCTTTTTAGATTGTACTATATTTAAAAAATAATGACATTATGTGAATACTTATTATTTTATATTATAACTTGTCAATATTGGTAATTTGAGTTCCTAATTCGTACAAAACTATAGACTTGATATCTTGACATCACAAACTTCTAATTTGAGCAGTGCTGCATTCATCATACCACGTGACACACAAAAATGAATGTTTAACTGTTTTTTAATATTTACTTTTAAATTAAGAAATTTTATAATGTATGATACTGAAATTTGAATTATAATCTACAGTTTGATACTAAACTTACTGACATGAATTCATGAAATAGTAGTTCAGTAAAATTTTTACTGTGAATCAACAAATGCGATGCATGTCTTTTCACCCATGACCGATCTGGAAAGGTTAAACTTCAAACAAACAAACAGTGTTACAATTTAAAGTCATTCTAGAGAGAAAAAAAAGAGTATTTAAATTTATTTCATATTTTATTTATGGTGGTTACAAGGTTGGTCAAACTGTCTGACCCTGGATCATGGGAAGAGGGAAAATAACAGATAAAATATAAAATTGTACTGAAAAAAAATGTTTGGAATTTATTTAGGAGGTTTCAGAGATATACAAATGAAATTTGGCAATTATTAGATCAAGAAAAGTATTTTTAATCTTAACATGAAAGTCACTTTGCACTCAGAACAGTCAACACTTTGACTCCAAAGATTCAGAGAGAAATGTTTAGTAAAAATACCTGTTAAAAATTCTGGTTTTTTATATTCAAAAGACTTATAATGTTTACTGAAAGCTTGTGAGATTTTGTGACGATGCATAGAACATATTAGAAGCTATAGCATGAAAACTCCCTTCCATGGCCTTTGTGTCCCAACCATCCTTGTTGCTCATCTTACAGGGCCTTTTGTTTTTGGGTGCTAACTATACACTTCTACGCTCATTTATATTATTTGCTGGGAGCTTCCTTCTTGTTGGTAAGCTACCTCTCTTGGCCTGTCTTTATTCTGTCAACAGAGAAGCCTCTGCACCTTCAGATCTTCCATGTGGTTTACTCTTTGTTGGACATTTTGCCACCCTTCTGTACTCCAGGCGTCTTCTCTTACAGTCCTATATTCCTGTTCCTTCACTACACTAGTCTTGCCTGTTTCTCCATACCTACTCCTTTATTCATCCCCTCCCAGATTTACACACTACAGTCTTACTTGGGTGCCTCTCTGATCCTCATTAAATCTTCCAACACGGGGTCGGTTGATTTGACCGAGTCATGTGACCTTCTGTACTCGTTTAAAGTTGACATCAATTTAGTACTTATAACTTTCTATATATATTGGGTATATCTTCACGAAACTTAGCAATCTTTCAGTTAATATTACAAGTCTTTCACATACAAAAAGTTATATTTCTTAGTGAAGTTCTTTTAATAAAATAAAATAAAGTTTTGTCCATGAATATATTGAGTATTTATTTTGAAT